AGAGAGAGAGTACAGTGTCTCTTAGCAACCGCTTCGAGTCTCTTGGTCGGGGGCGGAGCCTCGGAAACCACCACCGGGAAGCTGAGGGGCGAAGTGAGCGTGACCAATCGGAGATAAGAGCCAGCATCTACAGGCCCGCCTACTCTAACTGTCGCGAATCCACGGGCAGCTTTACGGCAGCCAGGGGGTGGGGGCCGCTGGTGTGAGGAGGAGAGAAGGAAGCAACCAACCAACCAGGTCGCCCCGGACCCCCTCATCCCCACCCCCCACCCACTCCGGACCTGGTTTACGGCTCAGAGCTCAGGCTCCAGTACGGCCGCTGATTGGTTGCCGAAGGTTTGGTCCCATCCCAGTGACCCCAAAGTGCTGAAGGGAGGGGGCAGGGGTGGCCCAGTGCAAAGTGCATCCTGAAAGCCCCCTTTCCAGACATCCAGCTGCTGGCACTTCGGACCTCGTACGGCTTGGGCTCTCCCTGTTCCCAGTCTTCCTGAGTCCCTCGGTAACTGGAAGCTTCCGGCCCGGCGCGCGGCAGCCCCCAGGTCTGAGCCCCTGGACCGGGACTGCCCCCCCAACCCGAGCCGGCACTTCCTCCCTGCACCCCTTCCCCACGGCTGCTTGGAGGCCGAGACAGCCACCCCCACGCCTGATCCTCTGTCTGGATGCTCTCCAGGCTGGGGCGCTAAGGCACCGAAGAGGATCGGGAACACGGTGTCCGGCCCTGCCTGGGGTGTTTCTTCAATGGAGAAGTTGGTGAATGTGGAGGACGCTGAAAGGAGGAAGAGGAGCTGCAGCTGAGGAGACAGGTAAAAGTCAGTTACCTCCCCTAAGGGGAAGGGGGCTTCCGGGGTTGGGAGAAGCCCTGCTCCCGCCTGCCTGCCTGCCCTTGCCACCCTCCAGCCTTTCCTTTGCTCCTACGTACTCAGAGCCCTCTCCTCGCCCCTAGATTACTTACTGGTTTCTGTTTTCCAGGTTTGAGCTGGCTGGAGGACACTCGGGAGCAGAAGGGGGTCTGCCCACCCACCAGAGAAGCAGTAGGCAGAGTGCCTGGGACCAGCATCCCCTCTAAAGGTAAGGAGCCAGCCTCCCCTCCCCCATTGTTTATTCCTCGCCCCTATCTCATTAAGCAATGCTTTATTTCCAGGGTGGTTGCCTGGGAGTGCGAGCTTTCCTAGATCCCACTTTCCTAGCCAAAACAAAAATCACTGCTCAAACCCTACCTTTAATATTTTAATAACTTTTCTATCTCAGAATGTATTCTCCCCCCTTCCCATTCAGAGCGTTTCTGTGTTTTGCACTATCTTGTGGTACACTGTGTCATTTACTCTGCTCTGAGCTCCCCGCCTTCCTTGCTCTCATAGGAATTTCTCAGTTCCATGTTAATTGCTTGTTAATGCTGAATGACTCTGTTTTTTAATTAAACTGCAACTTACTGTTTTCCCCACTTTTTCTATTACTTTTACTTTCCCTCCATCAGGAAGGCCTCCCACCTACCTAACTGGTAATGGTTTGGTAGCAGAAGGTAGATTGGTGGATTGAAGTTTATGAGCTTTAGAAAATAATTTTGTTATTTCTCCTAGTAAAAAGTGAATTGTGCACTTAATGTGAGAACCGTATTCCAACTGTATAAAAATACTAGCTCCTGAAATAAAATATATAATTTACTCTGGGTTTTTGTTTGTATGTGACAAATGTGGGTGGACACTGAAGTTGTTACAAAGCAATGCCTAGTACTTATTAAACCTCTGGTATTCTAGGTGAATTTATAAAATTTTACATAGAATCCCATTAACAATAGTGGGACAGTCAGGAGCTTAAAAAGGAAGTAATGCTTTGATATGTTTAGCTATCTGGGGCTTAGTTTTGTCACACTTGTTTTCTCATTTTAAAACCTTGCAGAGTTTGTTAGATTGAAATGTAAGCACCTAGTCCATGTGGTCACTTTCCTGCTGCCTTTGTTGCTATCTCTGAAAATGCACTAAAGGTAAATTTAGGACATTAATGTGAAGAGGGAATTATAAGCATAAGAAAAGTTAACTCAGAAACTGGATAATAAGTAACTTCTGTAGTACCGATTATCACTAATCAAAGCTATTTGTTAACCTCATTTATTTTAGTATCTCAGATATTTTAGAATTTTTGTTACAAAGAAGGTATTTAAAATAGTAGGCTTTAAACTTTTTATTCTCACAGGTATGGTGACACACTCCTTTAATCCCAGCACTTGGCTAGCCTGGTCTACAAGGGGAGACCTTGTCTCAAAAAATATAACAAACAGAAAATTTACTGTGTTCCCTTAGAATTTCTGTCTTCCACAAAAAAATTAGTGTCTTTAATTCCACTAATTCTTAAGACATAGGGGAGTTGACGGTTTTCATGTTTTTGAGATTTGGAACTGGATGCCAAAGCAAAAGTATACTCTGAATATAATTTAAATCAGTACCTCTTAGCCAGGTGTTGTAGGACACACCACTTTAATCTCTGTACTTTCAAGGTGAGGCAGGAGGATAGGTATTTAAAGCAAACCTGGCTAGCTGCATAGTAAAACTCTTCCACAAAAAAAAAAAAAAAAAGAGAGAGAGAGAGAAATTAGTATCTATCAGTGACTGCACCATGGTGAAAATGTAGAATAGCCTCCATGTATATAGGAATCTAGGAAAAACTAAGAAGAGGCCTGTCAAGTTAAAGGCTGTTTTTTTATTATTCAAATAATGGAACTGAACAGAGTGATGCGTAGTGATTAGAACTTGTAAAAATGCTGAAAATATGTAAAGTATGTTTTAAAGATCAAATGCAAAATGTATTTATTTATTTATTTATTAATTTATTTATTTAATGTGTAAATGTATTGCCTGAATGTAAGTACACTCATACCATACAATGCTTTCAATGGCCAGAAGAGGGCATCAAATTTCCCTGGAACTGGAGTTATGGACAGTTTTCCTTGTGGGTCCTGGGAATTGAACCCTGGATCCTCTGTTAGAGTAGTCAGTGCTCTTAACTGCTGAGCCATCTCTCCAACCCCCAGAATGTATTTTCTATTCAGGCCTTCTTGGTGAATTTCTTTCCTGCTTTAGAGTTAACCTGAGGATGTTTTTCCTAGGGTTCCTAGGTAAGGAATATTTTTCCCTCATAGGGTAATTGAGGAGCCCTAGTCAAACTTGTAAAGGCAGGACATTTGTCCTGGTTTCCAGCCAATTAATCATTACTGTTTAAGTAATGCTGCATGGATCTACTCAGCTTGCAGTAGTTTTTCTAAGATTAAGGGCTATATATTTATATAGATATATAGAGTATTACATTTATATATATTAATAATTAAC